TGAACCATCCTAAAATTTGATCAATTCAATATGAAGAGAGGGGAAAACTGTTTAAAGGTCATTATTGTCAAAGTTCCACCAGCTTACTTTAATGACATCTTTCAGTGGTTTGTAACTAATTGTTCGAAATTTCCGTTCAAATATATTTCTATTTCAGCTGCACAACAGCCCATGATTGTTGTTGTTTTCCTACTTTCAGGCAGGCAAGTTAAGCACAGTGTGTGTCCCCCATCACAGTGCCACACAGAGACACACAACATGCACACTTAGTCCTGCGGACAGGTACTCATGGACGAGCAATACACACACAGCATGAGCATGTAACGAGCACACACCACAAGTAGTATTTTAAACAGCCATAGAGAAAGTGACAATAAAATTTCCTGCTGTTGACCCGGCAGAGGCCTATCAACGGGATCGCTCCATTCTGGACCTGGTATCCAGTCTATGTTTGCACATGATCTGCTCATTTTCCCGGGATAGCTACCTCGAACAGCCCTTTCCGTTGGTCAGAGTTCAGAAAAAAAGCTCCAGGAAATAATGTGTGGGGTTCATAAAATGTGAACGCAACTATTAAAAAGCCAATGGGACTTTTTCCAGACAGGGAGGCAGGCACATATCTGGAGAACAGCCTGTTAGAGGAGACAGATACCAAAGGCTGCTCATAGAAACTATATTAGATTCTTTTTGTTTTTTTCAATCTAATTTGCTTAGTTTTTTGTTAGATACGTAAAGATAATAAATGTATTTATTCGTTTATTATACCTGATTATTCCAGTTCCCGGTGGCAGTCCTTGGACTGCGTGAGGAGGTTGAGAGGCTGTTTGCTGGTTTATGAGCAGCAGGTTGGATGATGGACACAGTTCAATAAAGCTACTGAAGAATTGTGAATAACTGCCTAAATTCAAAAGGTAAAGACAGAAAGTCTAATACTGGATTCACATGTAATGGACCCCCCGGATCCCTAATAGACCGGTGAGGAGTGCTGACCAACGTACTTCTGGGGTCATCAGGATCCTCCTCATCACTTTTGTCCAGCCGTGCCCACAACAACTGGAGGAGACTGGACAGACCAAAGTTACTACAGTTACACTGCATGATATCTTAAAAAGTACCTTCTGAAAATCACCCCTGTCAAATATCCTGTGAAAATCCTGTGAAACTACAGAAAAAAACGCTAGATTACCAGTTACTGTGATGGATTGCTATCGCTCCAAATCAAAATATAGCAAAGAAATACAGCATTTCTATTGTGTACTGGCCATTACTTTCAGTTTTATTCAAATTTACATTAGAAACAGTGTTATTCTGTTAGATATTTCAATGTTTGCATACATTTCCTCTCCTTGAAAACAAAAACCCTTGTGTAAGTTTTCACAAACTATGCCTTCAGTTTTTAGACTTTGGATTTGTTATACTGCTTGTATCTTTTCCTTCTTTCCTACATCCTGATCATTTTAAACCTTGCAGTATTTATTTTCTTTCTACGTTATGTGTGTTGTGTCGTAAATTTGAAATATTATTGTCTTTTACCATTTTTTGATTAATCAGGTTTCCCTTGTCTTGGCTCAGGTTCTTATCTTTATGTATTTTTATATTCTCCGTAGCTTTGGTGCCATCGTGTATCTCGTGATTTTGAGTCTGTTACCCGGTTGGCTGGGTCATAAATTCCTTTGTGTTGCTCTAGTTTTTGATCAACAGCCTTGCTGCTTGACTGGACCTTTGAGCTCACAGAGGAACTGACCAAAGGAAAGGAAATGCTGAGTGTGTTCCTGCTGTTCCAGGAGAAGTCAGAATTGGAGATTGCACACTGACCCAAACCTACTCACACACAGAGGGGCAGAGAATGCACGTGTCTGCCAGAGCAGCATCTTTGGATGCTTTTGCTAAAGTTGATTTGGCCCATGTAAAACAACCCAGAAAACATTCTGTCCCCCCTCCCTCACACACACGTACTGATTTGGTGACCACAGCTGCTTTATTTATTCAGTGAGTGATT